CCTTCGCATATGTTATGTCGGCTGGCACAATTCCGCTTTTTTTAATTTCTCAGAGTCCGACATAAGCAACGAAACAAAATGGTTTGGAAACCAGGTGCCAGGCGATGGCTTTGATACACTGCTCCACATCACCACAATTGGAACAGTGGACGAAGACTTCGCTGGGGTTAATGCGGTATTTAAAATAGGAATTGTCCTGACCATAGCCCAAGCGGATGAATATCGGCCGTTGAATGCACAATCTCTCATTGCCTCTTCGTAATCAGGTGACACATAACTGATCCTGGTATCCTTGAGCTTCTTAATGTGGGTACTTTTCTCGGACACCATCTCAATGCACGTACGAACTCGTAATTCTGTTGCCATCGAAAAGTCACCCTTTGATAGCAATTGACAGCGAATGAAAAAGACAATTCCCGTCACCGGGCACAGCAGCGGGCGCGCGGGAATACACACGATCTATATAGGAATATTACAAATATTACAAAAAATCACGAAATTAGGTGCGACTTGACGAAAAAGCGAACGACTCCAGACGAAAACGTAAACAAAACACAAATACACACGAATAATTATAATAACACATAATTTTTACGAATTGTTATAGCGCAACTTTACTTTCTTGTTACAAGCAACTTCGAAAAACTAATTAAACTACATATAAACACAATGTGGATAGTAAAAAGCAAATTCCGAATAGACAAGACACCTTGAAAGTCAATAATAAAAGATTCAAACAAGACACACGTTAAACTGTAAATAGACACGGGTTAGTGAGACTTAGAGATCGAGAGATCGTAAATTTTTGAAAGAATTCAGACAGAATATTATTATATGGTATATAGGGGGTATTTTACCGAGAACAAAACACTCGTAGAACTCATACGCCACTACACCTGGGGTACAGTGCACGTTTGGGGATGTTTTTACCAAGATAGCTACATGCGTAATATATATAGCAAGTTTCCAGAATTGCTTCTCGTAGATGCAACGTACAAGTTACTGGATCTACGATCACCCGTGTACCTTTTACTGTGTGTTGATGGTGATTGCTTAAGTGAAATCTCAGGGATGTTTATACTTGCTGAGGAAACGAAAGACGTGATTGAGGCGCTTGTCAAAGTGTCTCAGAAATGAATAAAAAGTAGGGAGGAAACACAAGTTATTATGTCAGATAAAGACTTTACAGAACGGGATGCATTTGCGAAATGTTTTTCAAGTGCGTATCTGAATATATGCTTGTTCCATACCCTCAGATCATTTCGCAGGGAAGTGACATGCGAAAAAATGGACATATCATCGGCGGAAAGATTTCGTTGCTTGGAAATCTTAACGCAGTTGGCATATTCAAAATCTCCAGCGTCATATGAATGTCACCTGAAAGCATTGAATGACACCAGCAAGAGTGTTAAAGAATACATAGAAATAAACTGGTTACCTGTGAAGGAACAGTGGGTCTCTTGATATAAGGATAACAACCTAAAATTACAAACAATCGTCTAAAATGTTCCTTTAGCAAAACCAAATCTCTTTGCTCGAAATATACAAGTCTAGTGCAATTCTTCCATGAGTTCTTTTCTGTCCTAAGTTTCTTGAGGACCACCACTACCTGATGACTTTAGCGCGAAAATCAACAGAGCATAAGAATTTAAAAGGTGATCTGCGATTTTATGCAGACAATTTAACTCCCTATTCATTCAACTTCGTCGAAAAGCAGTTTATCTTAATAGATTACTGAACCACAGCCACAGATACTGGAAATGGAACATTTTAATTTTCTTCTTCGACTGGATATCCAGTTGTTTCATCAGCTTTCAAATAAAGCTACTCATTTTTAAAAAGAATGGGACTCCCTTAGCTTGCAAGCATATCTTTAAAGTTAGAACAAGCATTAAACAAGCGTTAAAGCATTAAACAAGAACAAGACAAAGTTTGTGGCTATAAATATTTTTTGAAAATGTTAAAATTTTAAGGCGACTGCAAAGAAGATTGAAACGCGAAACTAAATATTTATATTTAAATACAAAGTAATTATTCCAATAAAACACATTTCAGAAAAATGTCAATTATTTCTTGATTCTCGAATCTCGTTTGTTTATTTTTCGACCAACGCAGCTGACTAACTTTTATTATTTCAAAAATATTTATTGGGATTCCTATTGAGAAATTTGAAAACTGTTTTAAAGCCTTATATGTACAGGGGTAAAAAATGTGGCCCCCAACAAAATGTGGCACACTTTGTGGTATATTTTCATGATCACTACATGTCAAACAACTGTCTGATTCGCAGCAAATTGTTCAGAAATGCAACCTAAAATTTGAAGAATGAAACGACTAATTAAAAGAATTTGATTCATGTGTAAAATTTTGCTTTAACGACACTAAATGACATGATACACAGTCCTCTGAACTTTGGATGTTTGTGTGGTAATGAAAATTAATGTACTCAAATCCCACCTATAATAAAGAGTTATACCTACAAATCTTGCGATATATCTACAATTTATTACCTTTTAAACCGCCCATATACACATTTGGATGCAAATGCTGTTTTATTAAGCTGACTGTGTTCTACTCGAGAACGAAAATATTTCTGGGCTGCCTATGGATCAACACTGGGATCAACACTGTTTGGGCAAGCTTACCATCTGCGGAACATCCAGGCCGATCCAGCTCCAGCAAGTCCATGTGTGATGTGATATGGTCTTAGATATAACTTATTAAGGAAAAATTATACTAAACTACGTTTAAAGCTATATTATTGTTTTTCTGCTTTCCCAATAATTTCAAAAATGCAGTTACGTCCTTTCTAAAGTTTCTTTTCATGCTATCAAAGGAAAAATCGCAGCCTAGAGAATAAGAAAATCAACATCGTAATAGTATACTATTTCATTTAGCAATTAGAAGCCATACAAAACAGTAAACACTAGAAGTTTCACACTAATAATTCGCTCCATTACGGATATATTTACTTCAGTGTTTTATGTATCAACCATTCTTTTGCGCAACAGAAAGTGGCCTTTTGTTAACTGAACGTGTGAGATTTTTGATAACGTTTAATATTAATTGCAGCATATTTCACATTCCACAGTTCATTCTCTGAGTTGTATGTATTGCTTTCCGTAAATGTTCACTTTGTTTGATGATTGATCACTTATAAACAAAATTCAACAAATGAAATTACCTTGTCATGCATTAATTACCTATTCTTACACTCTCAAGGGCAACTGCAAACATTTACATTACATTAAGGTGGCTCCCTACAATTTTTTAAAATATTGTAAACTTGTGGTTTTGATTTAAAATTTTAGCCCGAGATATCTTGCTAAGGAAAAGAACTTTCCCAGATATATTAACTAATATTCTAACAGTCAGAAATTAACCATAAGCATGACGTCATTACCGTTGTTATGGTAACAATGGCGATTCAATATGGCCAACATTTTACCTATTCACGCATTTTTACTCGAAAACAAGTTCGGTTACCCCAATTTTCCCCGAGCCGGTGCGGAGCACCGTGCGAGGGTACTAATTCCGCCCGGAGATTAGGAATTACACCCGGGACCCGGGAGAACATAGCGGAATCCAAAGTTGCCCAAATGTCATGGACGTTCAATGGTCATGGTACTTGTGCGCATGCGCGAAATACGAACGAGTGTAGACTGGTAATCAGCAACTTCCTGATTGGCTAAGACGAAACGTTTGTGTTTCAGTGAAAAACGTCAGCAATTTAACTGTCATTTTGCAAACTATTTTTTAAAAAATGTTTCGAAAACAAAATATGAAATGTGGAATCAAATAACAGATAAAACACTGGAAAGAGTTTAAAATATTATCAGAACTGGAGGAATTAGCGGTGAAATGGAACAACTCGATTATAATCCTTGAAATGGTAGGTGTGTATTTTGTTTATTTCGAGGTTTATTTCGTGTTTGCTGTACGAATACATTTTATGACCTTGGTACAGTATGTCGTTTTGCTCGGTTTTGCGAAGACGAGACCGACTATTTAAGGCTTTACATCATCGTTTTAACTTCCAAAAGAGTCCTTAAAAGTGTAATTCGGAGTTTTAATATAACAAATATCACTTTAAAGGTTTATATATAGTCGACTGCAATCACTGCGTGAATTTAATAATCGACTAGAAAACAACATTCGACGTTCACTGCTTAGTTATATATTTTACTTGGGCTTTTTTGATATTTTGAAGGTTTAGCTATAATGAAGTATTAACAGTCACTTAAACTGTGAAAGTCTATAACTTAATGCAACGGAAAGCAGCAGGAAAATGGGTGATTTCACTTCACCTTTAGTCTTTACGACTGTGTTTGTTTCCGAAATATTTGAAACATAAGCTATCGGCTTTACATTTAGGACATTTCATAATATTGAAGGTTAGGACTGGCTAGCTCAGGAAATATTTTGCTTCGCTTGAAATGGCGAGGGGTTGCTGCATGCATGTATTTCTAGTTTATATTATAAAAAGTTTTCTTACAAAAAAATTGAAAATTTGAACCAGTTAAAAAAAATTCTATAGAGCCAAAATTATTAAAAATTAAAAAACGTGATTTTTCGTTATAGAATTTTTTTGGCTCTATAGCATTTTTTCAAACTTGCTCAAATTTCCCATTTTTTTGTAAGAAAACTTTTTATAAAAGAAAAAATTGGGGTAACCGAACTCATTTTCGAGTAAAATGCATGAATAGGTAAAATGACGGCCATATTGAATCGCCATTGTTACCATAACAACGGTAATGACGTGATACTCAAAGACAATTTTCGACTGTTAGAATGTTGGTTAATATATCTGGAAAATTTCATTTCGTTTAGCAAGAAATTTCCTGCCAAAAATTTCAATCTAAATCATTAGTTTTCAATATTCTTAAAACTGTAGGGAGCCACCTTAAGAGAAATGTAAGAAATGTGTATTTGCATATAATAACTTGAAACGTAGTATATATGACTTATACTGACTGTCTAATTTGAACTGCCTTTCATAGGTCGGCAATAACTCACTTATGCCTCATTTGGTTAGATTAATGGCAAATTCACGTGACTATAACGAACTTCTCCACAGTTGGTGGGGGTGGCGCAATGAGTCCGGAAGAAAAATGAGACAGATTTACAAGGAATACATAGGTTTAACGAATAAAGGTGCAAAAGAGAATGGTTACACTGACCGTGGGGAAGCGTGGCGTTTGGCTTACGAAGTTGACAACTTTGCTACTTTGGTGGAGCAGTTATGGAAAGAATTGAAGCCATTTTATATAGAAATCCATGCTTATGTGCGGTACAAGTTAGCAAAGGCTTATCCAGGCAAAGTTTCCGAAAAAGATTATATTGAAGCCCACTTGTTGGGAAATATGTGGGCGCAAAACTGGGTGAATATATTCGATATAGTTATGCCTTACGAAAACAAATCCAACCTGGACGTAACGTCGAATTTGAAACTGGATAGTCGGTATAACACTCCTAAGAACCTGACGCGATTGGCTGAATCGTTCTTTGTGTCTCTCGGATTAAAAGAACTGCCTCAAAGTTTTTACGAAAAATCGATGTTACAGAAACCGAAAGATCGCGAAGTAGTATGCCATGCATCAGCGTGGGATTTCAATTTGTACAAGGATGTCAGGTTTTAGAATTATTTCTGTGGTTAGAATGTTCGTGTGCTTTCAATTTAAATTATGATTTTTGCCACTTCACTCGATGCATTGCACCGGCATCGCAAAAGCGTAGGTTCAATTCCTGCCGGAGGACCTGTAGTGGACTCATTTTTCATCAACTGTTCCTGGCTTGAATTTGATCATGTTATTTGAATTAAGTGCACTCAATTATACTAAGGAAAATGTATAGGTTTAATGATGGAGAAATAAATTTCGGCAATTTTGCTTCAGAAAGTTATTATAATCGAAAACTTTTAGGCTTTTAGCATGCTTTAGTTCTAAAACTTTTAGGCTATGACTAACTTTTAGGCTTTGGTTAGTATTATTTATGCGCCCTTTCAAAACAACTGCTTTGTCCTGCTAACAGCTACAATGATCCTTTTAACCTTAACCCTTGTTTCCATTTAATCGCAATTGTCGCAAACAGATCATTTTCACCAATGAGAAATAATCCGGATGTGAATTTGTCTTTTTTTTCTGTACAAATCGGCATTGTGACTGCACATAGAAATATTTACGACACTCACGACTAAATGAAAACCAGGCATTAGGTATTTTCAGGGCACCCGACACGACACAACACGACACCACTCCAGTTTTTGTGAAATAAGTCATAAGTCGGTCCTAAAACCCGTTTGGGGACAAAATATGTCGGCACGCCTCAAAACCGAAAGGCATTATTTACGTCCAGCTTTTGTTTTTAATAATAAATTTGGAACGGTCCACCTTTCCTCGGAGTCACCCTGTGTACTGTTTATAATTTCATCAAATAAAACAGTTAAAATGAGTATTTAAATTGTATATAGTATGTCTGTGACACATTTATCTGTAATTTATGACCCTGTGGCTGTGATTTCCAATTTTGCGCATCTTTTACGCTCCTGGGATTTAAATTGCGAAAGTAAAAAGGCTATTGAATGTACCTAGCTTGTCCATTTGATTCCCTCCAGGCTCCAGCTAATTTATAAGTCATTATTTTCTTTAAACAGAATCAAGCAATGTGTTGAAATAACACATAATCATTTGGTAACACTTCACCATGAACTCGGCCATGTACAATACTTTCTTCAGTACTGGGATTTACCTGGAGTCTATCGCACAGGAGTGAACCCGGGATTTCATGAAGCCGTTGGAGACTTGATGTCGCTCTCTGTCGACACTACCACTCACTTAGAAATACTTGGTTTGTTGAAAAACTATACAAGTGACGAAGGTAGGTTAAAATCCCATTCATAAAATATAGTAGGGCTATTTAAAATTCGGAATGAAATTCCATAATTTTTATTGTTATCATTATTCTTATTCTTATTCTGTAGTTTTTTTACCTTCAGTAACCAGTTGTATATATCCTCATAATAGCTAGAAGAGATTGATAAGTTTCCATTCTCGCCTAATCTTAGTGTAGTTTTCCTCTTCCTCTGTTGCCATTTCAGGTGAATTTCGGTATTATTTTTCACAGAGTCTGATATTAACGTCTTGATGAAGATGGCTTTGCGAAAAATAGCGTTTCTACCATTCGGTTATCTTATTGACCAATGGCGATGGAAAGTTTTCAGTGGTGAAATCAGCGAGAGGTCTTACAATGTAAAATGGTGGAACCTGAGAAAAAAATTTCAAGGTATTAAACCTCCTGTGCCAAGAAGTGAAGACGACTTTGATCCTGGCGCTAAATTCCATATTCCTAAAGATGTACCATATATTAGGTTAGTTTGCTTGATGAAAAGACGTTTTTTAACTTGCATGGTTATACATACCACAATATTGTTCAACACGAGAGAGATTACTTAAAAGTAGTCCAGAAAAAAGAGAATATATAGCACCATACCCCATAACAATAGTCGCCATACACTGACAAAACGAGGTAAAGGTGATTATCTTCATTCAGTTTTAAACTCTGCTACAGTAGGTCTGCTTCTGTGATCATGATGTTATCGTCGTAATAACGCCATTCTCATAGTATAGACAACGACATACTGACCACTATTTTTGACATTTTTATAGGTATTTCGTAAGCGCCATCTTACAGTTCCAATTTCACAAGGCAGCGTGCGATGCCGCTCAATTCAAAGGGCCTTTATTTAAGTGCTCTATATATAAATCCAAGGAAGCAGGGGAAAAGATTGCGTAAGTTCATAATACATATAATTGAGATTATTAAGATTATAAAGAATATTGATGTTAATTATCAATATTTTCCTAGATCATCTACTTCGGCTCAACCCCGCTTCGGTAACTTACCGCGAAACATTCAACAAAAGCACATTTAAACAAGAGTGTAGCTAATCAACGGGGTGTATATAGAAAGGGTCGCCCCCTCATTCATTTTAAAAAAATATGTTGAAATCCTGGTAGAAAATTGGGGATAGCTATATATTCCTGAATATTTTCTTCAGCAGAGATGATGCCCGATGCTCCCTAAATGCCAAGTGTTTATTGAGGCAGAGGGTTTGAACCTATTGCATTTTTTAGTAAAACATCAAAAACTGCCTAAATTCGATCATACTCACTGGATAAGACGAGCAGAAATTTGAGATAAATCTTAATTCTCCTCTCGCTATAAGATAGTAGGGTCCTGCTCATTAAATTCAATTTATAGGTATATAGTCGTTCGTTCGTTTGCGGTCTCCTGAAAGATGTAATGCTTTTTTGAAATTCTCAGTATTTTAATTTAATTTCAGAGCCATGCTGGCGATGGGTAAAAGTAAACCATGGCCGCATGCCTTGGAGAAAATGACAGGAAGTAAAGAAATGTCCGTTGCCCCAATAAAAGAATATTTTCAACCACTCCAAGACTGGCTGGTGAAAGAGAGATGTAGCAAGAAGTATTACATAGGTTGGCCTGGGCAGCCTGCTGATGGTGCCAAAGAATGCAAAACTTCCACCGCAGAGCCAACCATACAAGAAAACAGTGGGCGTGCACTACAAAATTGCTTTCCGAGTTTTTTGCTTACCTTAACCGGCTTACTCCATTTAGTGGCTTGGATGTAACAATGGAAAAACCAAAGAATAATTCCGTTTAATAACTTAGTGGACGAAGGCTTGTACCAACTAGTTTACTGTATATATATATATATATGGTGAATAGAATGCATACCAAGCATACCATACATCTGTCTGAAAAATTACCAACTAATCAAGAATTACGATTAGTTGCGATAGTCTAACTAACGAGGTTTAAAACCTAGTTTGCATTTGGTCGTTTTCAGTGAAGTAGAGAAGTCGACTGAAACGATAACACGATTGATTAATTTTCACGTCCTACATGTGACGTCTGGTTTCACTCCACGTGACCTCCTTGTGAGGTATGACATTTAGATAAAAAGAGGACAGCCTGCATGCGAGTTTGATTTGAATAATTTGGACTTCGTCTTATATGAAAAAGCATTCACGCATAGCTTGGTATTTGAATTGCTTGGTATTATAATTGTAGAATATTTTGTTGCCCCCCCCCGAGAATGCATTTGCCCCCCAGTAACTACATTTCTGCCCACGTAGTGCGACACAGTATTGCTCATGATTGCTCTGAGAATTGCTGTTGAATTACTTGATAAAGAGATTATGCCCTTCCATAGCCTTCTCCAGAGCCATCTTGCATGTAATGCATAATGTTCTTCGACAAATATTTCACAGTAGCGATAGATTTCATAGAATCAATCGAATAAATGCTAGCTTTCTAAACCTCGTCACTATTTCCTAGTATTTCCCCTCGGTAGTTTGTTGATAACAATATTTTTTCGCGACGGTTTTGTGGCAAATTCCTGCTTTTCGACCACGCAGTGCAAGGCCATGTCTTGAAACATTTTGTAACCAAATTTTTTTCCTAAATCCTGTACAACTATAACTACAAAGAGTTAAAATTGTTTGCATTTAAACAAAGGTTCCTTCTGTCTCGTGCGTTCGCCAAACCTCGTCGGCTCATTTTTCGTTTCGCCTTCGGGCTTCGCCCTCTGGCTTTCCCTCGGGACTTTCACAAACAGTCCTCGGTTTGCGGGAGATTTAATCACTATATTCTTAAAAACCATGGTATTACTTATAAAAAATTGACTTTGGATAACATTAAACTTTGTCTTTCCCATATTACCAAGCAAGTTATTACTCCGCCTGCGTATGCGCAGCGGAGTCTTAAAATGCCATGGTCTTTTTTCCTTTTCGTCGTTTTGGGCGACAGAAGTTGGCATTTCTACAGGTAACCCAAAACATTTTGACCGAGAAGCCCTGGGTTACACGGTCCACGGATGAATTAGGTACATCAGTTGGCATGCAGGCGGAGTGAACGCCTTGAGCAGGCGTCTTGTTATATTTAAGAAAGAGTTGTAAGGATGAGCAGTAATGGGTAATGGACGATTTTTGTAAACACGATGACCAACCATACAGGTTGTAATGCCAGAACGACGGAATTGGTTATTTAGTTGTAAATATTTTTGCCTCGGAGCTGAACTTAGAGCAAATGAGCTGTATTAAACGTTTTTCAGGCTATAAATATTAAACTTCTGCTATGATACTATCTAAAATAAACAGTCACTATTTCACTTAGACTGGACGGAAAAGGTGCTGATCTTCATTCAGTTTTAAACTCTGCTACAGCCAAATATAAGTTAGCTTTATTACTTTTTAAGTTATCGTGCATTAAGGGGAATGAGAATTTTCATTTCCTAAGAAAAGCGACAAAAATTTTTGCATATATTCATAAATTCTAACGAACAATACAACAGAACAATGAAAAAATTGAATAAGCCAATCAACCCCTTTTGTTTGTTTAGGGTAAAACTCTGATTTATACAATTTTCGTTCAATTCTCGCGTTATCGATTAGGATAGACATAAAAGATCGCACCCCTTGAAATCTTTAGAACGGAATAAATCGTGATTTGAAGTGTGGTAGACCGGGTGGAAACACGCAACATAACACTGGCTGTGCTCAGAAGGCTGTGCTATTGTCATTTTGCAATCATTGGCGTTATCAGGGCAAACGACGGGAAATGGTGTACATCAGTGGCAGAGTGCACAGTTGAGAAACAGAAATTAACTTCAATATGTTTAATAAACACAGACTTGCATCTATCACGTACAATTTAACTAATTAGTACATAGATTATTTTATCTGTTCGTCAAACAGTTAATATATATGTTTCAAGAAAGAAATGTCTATTTTATAGTTTCTATACTACAACTCTTTAAATAGTTCTATAACTCTATAATAAGACAAAACTACACAAGTCATTTAAGGCGCTGTTATACTATGCAATTTTCACATGATAATGCTGTAGCTATGAAAACTCGGAAATATATTTTCCTAGCTAGAGCCGCATATTTGTCACAATGCTGTTTTTGTATTTGCTAATTCTTCCATTTCTGCAGTTTAATCAGAGCTGTGCCTTTTGAGAGGTGAGAGGCGTATCACTTGCCAAACAAATGCCTTAGGTAGGAATTCTATTGCAGATTATTTTCTGCGGTTTACCCAACTTCTCGTCTCCTAAAACGCACTTACGGCTGCAATGTTGGGGGCTCTTCGAAGTACGAATTACATGAAGTTGCATGTGTGTGCCCGTTTTGACCACATTAACTGGGGGCCCAAAAGTAAAGTTGATAAATTGTTGAGGGGGCAAAACGTTCAGAACACTGACGAAATTTTGATCGACACGGCCCTGAGTTTCGTGTTCAATTGAAAACTATTACTTTTACACAAAAAGTTGCACGAATATTTTAGGACGTATAACAGCGCGTCTGCACACGAATTTTCATTTCGCCTATAACTGGATAGACAAAATAAAATATAACTAATATTAAAAAATAACAACAAAATGATAGGAAAACGAACAATGTTCCTTCACAATGTTCTAAACGAATGTTGTTGATTCGCTAACTTTGGCTTCGGCATTTTCCATAATGACGTCTCCACTTTTCTTTTCTAATGGTAAATCAGGATCTTCCTTCTTCTGTTGCTGCCCTATTGACATGTGCTTATCCATTTGATCAACGGCCAAGAAGTAAAAGATGGTGGTAAAAGCATCGGAAGCCATACTACCAGGAATATTACACTCTTCTCTCATCGAAGAACGTATTCCAACCACATAGGCCCAGAACCCACATAACACTACCCAACCTACATAAGCCAAACCAGATTCCACAACCTGAAGAATTTCGAACAAAATCCAACCATAAAACAAGATAGCCATGACAAGCATGTGGGGCAAAGGACTCTTGTTGTACAGCTTACCAGCTGCACGACCCGCTGGCCACCAAGGTGCTACAACAGCAGTAGCAATTCTCTTTAGCCCAGTAAAAGACGGGTGGTCGAATACATCAAAGAGACTAACCGCAAAGGTTTCCGCATTAGGATCAACATCCCCAGCCTCCTCCTTAACGCACTGCCAAATCGAAACACACATAAACAGAAGAATAGCAAGGTAAGGCAGGCCGGCTGCAATCGACACAGTTTGCAATGCAGTCAAAGCATCTTTACCACCACCCTTCAGCAGAGCCGTAGCACAAGCCCCTTCGGTCAAAGCCCAAAAGATACGTTGTGCTACTGGAGGCTCAGGGTTACCATTTGCAGACAAACAATCGATGACCAGGGAACCACTGTCTGAACTGGTAACGAAATACAGCAGGATACTAATAACAGTGATTACATTGAGTACGAATCCAAGGTTGTCACCATACTGTTGAAGCATATCGAAAAACCTGTCGGTGCTTGATTGACACGACAGTTTATACAGCTTATTATTGTCAACTACAACATACGGAGAGACGCTACAGTTAGCTCCAGCGTTGACAGCATCTCGTTCCATCTTCAGACCAGCACCACCAAATATACAGAACCACATGAAAATGTAGATGACAGGGGCAGTGAGAGTTGCGTTCAGAAAATTTTTTATTGTTCGGCCACGTGAGATCTTGGCAATAAACATTCCGACGAATGGACAGAAGGCGACCCACCATCCCCAGTAGAACACAGTCCAACCATCCATCCATTCCGGTGATTCACGACCATCAGGCGCATTTCCAAGTTGGGCGAACGCTTCAGTGTGAAAACCAAGTTGAAGTAGCGAGTGTAGGTAGTATCCGATACTTTGAACGTATAGGTTGAGGATGAACCAACTGTCGTCGTGGAAGAAAACAAATAACATCAGGAACATACCAAGGCAAAAGCACAGTTCACTTAACCGACGAATACCGACTTTGAGACCCGAAACGACTGAAATAGTTGCAACGATCGTCACGCCCCAAATGATGATGATCTGATTTGTAACCGTTTCTGATATGTTACTGTTCAAGCGATTGAGGCCAGTATTCAGAGACATGACACCAAAGCCCAAACTTGTACAAACACCAAACATTGTTGAAACGACGGAGAAAATATCGATCACATCACCAAAAAATCCAAAAATTCTATCACCCACCAAAGGGTAAAAGCAAGATCTAATTGTCATCGGAAGTCCTTTTCTGTACGTCACGACGGACATAAGCAAGCCTGTGATGGAATAGACAACCCATCCATGGAGGCCCCAATGAAACAAGGTAAGATTGATAGCATCTTGAGCTCTTTGATTGTCCGAGTGCCTAGAAATAGAGAAATAGAGGTTTAAACTAAACTAGAAAAATACAAACATTCACGGATATGTTCACGTCGAAATAAACAACACCTTCACACATTGAATCGACATGTTAACTAGCGTTGGGTATATCACGATTGCTACAAAGAATAAAAAGCCAATCGTTCTGTAGTAAAGCGAAGACAAAACCATGTTCATTTCTTTCAAACAAAAATAAAAAAAATATCTCCTCGTATTCGTATATATACTCAATCGTATATTATTTCATCATGTCAATTTCATCAAAACAAAATAAAAATCAAGTTAAGACGTCTAACATTTTGGTTGTTAGTACAATACTAATTCACGCATAAGACATCGATTTTCGTAAAGAGCGACTAATAACACACACATTGAAATCACCAGGCTGCAATCGTGATGAACACAACATTAGTTAACACTACGTCTATATGCCAGATAACATAGGTAAGGGACAGGGGTTGGGATGTGGAATTCTTACTAAGCCAACAATAAAATTAATATAAAATTATCTTCTGAAAAATAAATGTGATATATAGTATCGCATAACAACATAATGACAATTTCAGACGAACTATTACAACTTTTACAATTAAGGTTGACAATGACCATTGCTGTACAATGCGAGCGCTAAGAAAACAAAGAGAATATTTGTTTCCTATACTTAATTTACCACGTCAGTAGCCTTGTGGAAATACCCAAATGTATCATTTGTGCATTCCTGTAGGGCTGCAAATGTGTTAAAATTATTTAAATACAGGAAACCAATATTTCTGATTTCTTTCAGTCCACATTGTTCAAACCTTAACTGGAATGGCTGTGTATAGCTAGTCTATAAATGAAATATAATATCGCAATACATTCTACATTCCAAAACGTTTCTATATATCACATTTATTTTAGAAGCTAAAAGACCACCACCCACTAATTCAAGAAACCCATCCAGATACATATTATAGCACAAGTTCGTCATTGTCACATGTACCTTGTCTTTAACTGGTCTATTGAATGGAATTCCCGACTATAAAAACCCTACCAAATTCCGTGCCAAGAATGCACAGGCAATAAGAAATTCCATGCGATATGGGTTTGGTATTGTTTGAATCGAAAAAATGTAAAAACGAGGACGCCCAATATCGGTGTGCATTCTAAGCAAGAAATTTGATAGAATTTTAGGTTTCTACATTGTCAAGCAGCCCCACCTGATAAAATAAAAGAAATCATCGTGAGTATACCCAAATTATTTAGAAAACTGCATATGTACTAGTAATTGATCGATACTGTGGATAACAAAAAATATCTCTATCATTTCAGTGGGGTTGTAAAAGTGAAAAAATTCATTACTAAAGGATAGACTGATTTGAATGACTCGCTGGGCAGTTACACCTTTAGGACCCTCAACAGTTAAAGTTTTAAGCAGAAGGGTTATACTCTACTCAGGTAAGTGAGTAAACATCTAATATATTTACGGGAAGTGCCTAAAATACCCTGTTAACCTAGGGTTAACCTAGGGTTACCAAAGCAGCACTTGGACCAAACCAGGTAAAACAGCATTAATCTTAATGTAAGTACTGCATCTCAAATCAATTTTGTACATAGTAAATGCAATCATAATATATAGGTATAATATTTGGTTGCAGGGGGTTAGGTAATTAGTACTATAGCCTAGTAGCAGGGTATTAACAAATATTTTGATATAGACATGTGACACAATGAAGTTAATTAATACTCTGTCTTCTTCTGGATTTTCAAACTAGACTGGTCACATCTTCATGATGAAAATGGCTACTGTGGCAGTAGTTAAATTCCAAAACATTTATGTGCAATACACATACGAGAGCAATTTTGTCTAATTCCGTATTCAGTTTATAGTTTATGCTTATGTAAATATAAAAAGTACCCAATCATGCCTGGCTATTACGTGGCCAGGTATGCTACAATAGGACTCGAAGTCCAAAATAGAATAAATTAAGACGTTGGGTAATGCAAGTAAGTGCCTAATGATTAATCTGGGAGGTAAAAACCTGGCGTACCTAGAAAATAATTCTTGAAGCACTATTTTCTAACTTACTCATACAAACATGGATATTTAGAAGAGTACCAGTGGAATATAAACATGCTATTATTGTAAGGTGATGAAGAAAGACTTCTAAAATTCTGAGAGATTTTGTTACCAACATGGCCCTGTTCCACAAACATTTATATATTTCCCAAATTTTAACGGGATTAATTATATTTCTATAACATGACCATGCTAATCACATTCTACAAAGTAATAAATTTGTTAGGGGTTTCATTTACTCAATAGGCCAATGTGACACTGGCATTTCACAAGTTGCAATGCTAGGGTATAAGGTGAAGCTTTGTGTTGGCATTGGCAATATGTATAATTTGTAAAAAATTTAAATGGACTTGCCAGAGTTTTTCTGCCAGTTTGCTAGTGCAATAAACTCTTGCTATACAGATCAATATTGGGGCAATCTTAGTCAAGTAATAAGGCTGGGGGGGAACATGATTTAATAGCAATACAATATCTTTGTAATACAGCAATATCTTTTAACATCACTAGACAGACATTTTTGGCACATAAGGTAAGCAAAAAAAAAACACCAATGACACTTTAGTGACTTTACAAATTATAAAATTGATATTTACTATCCACAGGAACTAAGATATACAAGATGTATATCAATACACAAGATGTATTAGCAAAACAGCTAAAATGCACTTTAAGGCAAAGAAAAGATGAAAATCAATTTATTTATTTAACTTTGCCAATAAACATGCTAGATTTAACACACAAAGAACATAAATAGAACATTGATATACAGATGGCAGGTACATGTTACAGGTTTTGCAGGACAAAGTACAAGACTTGTTACAAGACAAACATATAGATTTCTATGTTCTTGGATCAATCTAGTGTATGTTGTGAAAGTTTCTAGATAAGTCTTGCAATACTTGCCAATTGAAAGACAATGTATTGTGCCCACAGAATCAGATCTTAGTAATAAGACAGAAATCGTCTATGTTAAAAAATATTTTTGTATATACACCAAAATATGTGGTATAATTAGGGTATGAAATCAGTCAGGCTTAAAATAAGCATCACTTTATAAAAAATGAAGCTACGTGATTAGCTAAAATGAATATTTCAGCTGTCCGATTAGTGGAGGAATTTAAAATTTGAAAAGCAATGCAATGCAAAAATGAAAGTTAAATTGATATTGTTAGTAACAAAACATTTGCAAAGGGTTTCTGGTAAAACGAACTTCTTTGGGTTTCTGAAAATGTGTACCACACTACTAATAGAAATTTCAAATTATTTTCAATCACATAAGTTTTGCTGTATTGTCTGTACAATGAAATACGAGACCCGGATATTCATTGTACTTAGAAACAAAAATGCAGCCACACAATTCAGGAAAGAAATTAGCCTTGGATTTTACATTAAAAATTAGAAATGCCGGAATACGCTAGTCAACGGCTTATTTTTAAAAAGCTTATTACCATTTTACTACAACTAAACACAACAAATATACAAAATATACCGGATATTACAAAATGAAACAAATATATAAAACATATTATTGTGAAATTTATTATTGTGAAAATGTTCGCGGAAGTACTTTGTACTCGCACAAACACGAGATCGAGAATATCGTTTTTTGGTGAATGAATGGCGCCCAATAGCGAATTGTTTATTTGAACTAATAATGTAATCATTTTTTGTAATGCACTATGACATTGAAAATTTGAAGAAATCCCTACTTTGAAAATGCAATAGGCTGTTAAGAAGACATGTCATAATATGAACTATATAAAAACGATGGAACGTAACGCTCCATTGTAAAAATAATGGCTTTTATAGTTTATACGATGCTACTAGCGTTTGTGCGTTTATGCCTTTGTGGCACAAATTAATATTTATTACCCCAATACCACGAGGTATGGGAGTGTTTGAAAACGGTTCGTCTGACAAACTATTCGACTGACAAACTCGACTGACAAACGATTATAAAGAAGCAATAAAACTCCTTACATACCTTCCCCAATAGCGATTTGGTTTTCCTGGTTCATAGTGTGAGATTGGTTCGGAAACACTGAAATAAAATAAGCCAATACCGATCCCAGCCGCAAACAGCATTGTGAAATAAGTAGCGTCGCTAAATTCTGGTTTCTCGTCATCTTTACCAAGCTTAAGGTCGCTATATTTCGAGAAATACAGATAGATGAGGAAAATGATTAGTACATTGATGGCACCGATGTAAAACCATGTGAAAGTAGCTGTAATCCATTTCTTGATTTTCCCCATGTCATTATAGGCGCCATTTGGGTCGGAAACACACCACGTAACGAAGCCCCATATCACGAAAGCCGATAGGACTGTCACTACTGGATTGAAATTCAGTTGTATTGGGCCAAGTTTTGCCTTGAAAGTATGACAACGATTATTTCTAGGATTCCTTTCCATCGTTATATGTTCACAGATGTTAAACTTTGAGCGTTCCCAAATCTTCCGCTGTGTGTGTGTCGCTTTATTGACTCGGGTTCTTTCCTCATCATCATATGCTCATCATGACGTTTTGCCACAGCGTCTCTGATTGGCCAATGGCTGCAGGTCAAACAGGTGAACGTAGGTTTGACAAAGCATGACTGGCAGATTTATATTTACATTAGCCATCATTGCCATGTACTTGTTGATTATGTTCCCTTATCTTATCCCTGGACAGGCTAGACTCTGTTGCAGCTGTAAAATATTATACGTAAGCGTGATTTTTAAAATCATATTATTTAATTGGGCAGTATTCATACAAAAGAGTACGAAACGAGGACTGAAATTTACTTATTTACACCAAATCATAGTCATAGACCACATCCCTATGATCTCAATCACCCGGCCGTTTTTCGCATCTAAGTTTAAAATATGCATGTCTCTCAGGTCTACGTTTTACCTGGTTTATGATTTACCGAGATTTTAATATTTGTTAAACCCAAATTTTAATGGTATAATGGTTCAGGTTTCTATGTCTTGAAATGTGACACGTCATGCAGTAAATATCCCGGTAAAACACATACGTTCGGAATATTCCCATATGACATGTGAGATTAATAAGGCTCACTAAATGACTCAGCTGTAACCAATTTATCCGTATAAATAAGAAACACAAATTCAATTCAGTATTCTTACTATTCTACATATATTCTCATGATTTCATCTTAACCGGTGCACTGTTGCGCGCCACGTGTCACTCGTAAAACCTACGGATGTTCAAAGTCCGATTAGCTTTATGCAAATCAACAAATCAAATTTTTTAAACGAAAACTATTGAAAACTTACAAAATGCTAAATATGATTAAGATGCAAAATTACAAAATGCTAAACATGATGACTTTCACAGTTTAAGTAGGAGTTAATACTTCACTATACTGTAGCTAAACCTTAAAGCTTGAAAACATCAAAACAGCACAAATAATATAAATAACCAAGCAGTAAACGTCGAATGTTTTTATTCGAATTTCGACTCTATAAAAGCTTTAAAGTGATATTTGTTATATCAAAACTTCGAATTATACGCTTTTAAGAACTCTTTTTGAAGTTAAAACGATGACGTATTAAATTATGTCGTGGGTTGTTATGTCTTCGCATAGTTTATGGGCTTCGCAAAACCGAGCAAAACGACACAGTACCAAGGTCATAAAATGTATTCGTACATTAAATGAACAGCCTCGTTCCCAGGTGCTTTTAATAAAATAAATATAGGAACACTACAGGCTTTTAGATGGATCAGTGGCTAAGCTGAGTGACTGAGCGCGCAAGGAATTTTGTGGAGGCCGCGACGAAAAAGTGGAGCTTCCTTTCCCGCAAGATTTTCGATTAATTGCGTAAAATCGACTGCAGAATAGATTTCTGTTTCGACAACCTCTTAAAAATTAAACGCTGCTCAGTAAAATATGAGCGCGAGATAACCTATTAAGTTTGAAAAGGTAAGCTTTGATAAGTTTTAAGTTGAATTGAAACTTGGCGCTAGCCGATTCGAAATCCTGCTTTTTAAGCATATAGTATATAATCTCTCCTATAGAGGCTATACACAAAGAATTGCATGCTATACCGGTCTATTTCTTCACAAATTAAACGTTAAATTCGTCTCAACAGTTAGGTGACAAACATTATCTGACAAAGTAGTGATGTTTTATTAGCTGCTTAATTTACTACAGTTTAGTACAGGCGTTGTTGATTGGAGGTTGTACGGCCTGTACATCAATAGCATACTTGTTTTCAAGACAAATATCGGTTGGATCGTCTTTCTTCTGTCGATATTCGATCAGCATGTGCTTATCGAGTTGATCTACGGCAAATGGATAGAGGAAGATGACGGTTAAAGCATCCGCTAAAATACTACCAGAGATGGCGCATTCCTCGCGGATAGCACTTCGTAACCCTAAAACATAGCCGAAGAAACCGCAGAGGACAACCCAGCCAACATAGGCCAGGCCATTGGCATAGACCTCCGTAATTTCTAGTATAATCCAGCCATAGAACAGGATTGCCATGATTATCATATAAGACAACGGTTTCTTGCGGTAGAGCTTAGCTGCAGCATGTCCAGCTGGTAGCCATGGCGCAAGGATTGCGATTGCAAGTCTTTTGGCGTTGTTCCATGATGGAAACAAAACGGCATCACAAAGGGATACGTTGAACTCTATTGCCTTGTTTCTATCGACAACGCCGCTTTCCATCTTCAAAGCGCGCCAAAGGGAGACACACATGGCGGTGACCAGTACAGCGAAAGGTAGACCCGCTGCAACCGACACCGTTTGAAGAGTTTGAAGTGCTGCTTTACCGCCGACCTTCAGCAAAGCTGTTGCACAAGCACCCTCTGTGAACGCCCAGAAAATACGTTGTACCATTGGAGGATTTGGATTTCCGTTCGCCGCTAGGGAATCCATGACCAATGAGCCACTATCTGAGCTTGTCACAAAATACAAAACGATGGCGATGATGGAAAGAACGTTGAGGAACTGGGCAATGTCACCATATTGTTGGAGTAAATCAAAGTACATTTGCGTTTCACCGCGACACGACAACCGGAATAGTTTTCCCAGAGGTTCGGTTGAGTTCTTACCTCCCAGATGGTCAGAGCAGTTGATCCCTTTCAATGCCGCCTCGCGTTCCATGTTAAGTCCAGCACCCCCAAATATGGTGAACCACAGAAACGAAAATAGAATCGGTGCGGTGAGGGTCGCGTTAATGTACGATCTGATGGTCCGACCACGCGAGATCCGCGCAATAAACATGCCAACAAATGGTGACCAGGAGATCCACCAACCCCAGTAGAAAATAGTCCACGCGTCAATCCATTCTGGTGCCTGCTTTCCGTCCGGTGCATTCCCCAACTGTGCGAAGGCTTCAGTATGGAAGCCTATTTGTATAAAATTTTGCAAGTAATAACCAATACTTTGTACGTATAAATTCAAAAGGTAGAAGGTATTATCATAGAAAAGAACCAACAGCATCAGTCCCACGCCTAGACAGAAGCATATTTCGCTGAGGCGTCGAACCCCCATCTTCAACCCGGTTATCACTGAAACGGTCGCCATTGCGGTGACAACCCAAATAATGATTATCTGGTTATCGACGCTTTCACTAAAGTCACTGTTAATGCGATTGATACCAGAGTTAAGGGTCAATGCCCCTAATCCAAGCGTCGTGCATACACCAAACATGGTCGACACAATTGATATGATGTCGAAAACGTCTCCAATAGTTCCATAAATCAAGTCGCCCAACAGTGGATGGAAACAGGAACGGATAGTCATTGGGAGATCCAGTCTATAGGTGACAAAAGCCATGCACAAACCAACAAGAGAATAGACCACCCATGCATGTATTCCCCAGTGGAATAGTGTTATGTTTATCGCATCCTGTGAACGTTGGTTATCCGAATACCTGCAACATATTTAGAAAATAATTTCAGGTTCTATAAAAAATACGAAAATTGTATTATTTTATTTTATTGCATGGGAATGTACTGGTTTGGATAAAAATTTAGTCTCCGTATTGCTGCTATGCACTTCTCGCCTCCAGTCTGTTAAATGAAACAAGACATCGCCGTGATTTCGGCGAGTTTTCTCGATTGAGGCATAGAGTTTAGTATATAATTAAACTAAAAATGTTTTTACACTCGACACTAGTGGACCCGCTTCAATATTCAGGGCCGTAGCGAATGGAGGATGTGGGGTGTAAATTGAGATATTTGTCAGGGAATTAGACATGATTTCCAAGTAAATTAATGTACTGTAAAAGTAGAGCGATTGATTTATTCAGGCGAAACACTATGTGCAAAGTTGTAAAAAGGTTTATACAAGGCCCCACAACGTTACCAAACCAATTTAAACTACCTCTATACGTTCTATTGACCTCTTTATCTCTTTTGTATCCCTAGGCCTATAGGCCTGCGAATTTTTTGGACTTGGCTTGGCTTGGATAAACTTAAAATATCATCAAATAATTCCTAATGCATTGATCAAAAATGAATCGCAGAGGAATTCTATTGCATGGAGAGTAGCGAAGTTAGTTCTTCTACACTTTGTAAGTCGGATACCCGGCTATTTTCATATTCACGTCTGAATCTGAATGTGAGTGTGAAACCGTGGAGCCGACGGTGGATTGACACTTTTTTGCGGGGAATAAAGTTTCATAACTCGTTTCAATCCTAAATACATTATATTGGCAGTTTGAGTACCCACGTCAAATAGCCACACCCATTTGTGAGGAAATTAACACCCACTCCTCCCCAATTCAGCTTCCTTTGCGACAGCTCTGCATTAATTTGGGTTTTGTTTTTTGTTAATATATATTACTGTCACAAAGGCTTTAAACGCCTGTCAGAGATGCTTTAAGAATTTAGTTAAAATTTTACATCGAGTGAAGCCCGGTGAAGCCCTGTATCCCACAATCATGAAATGGAAACTTTCCTCTTATCCCTTTCCTCGTATTAAAGAGTAAAGTTTGCAATCGGAATACGACAATATTTAAATGCCGTTTTTGACTGCGTGGTGGATACGAAAGTGGATTACATTAGCTTTGACTTAAATAGGATGCTGATCATGTTTCCATCTTTTGGTAAGCACGATATACAAAATTAAAACAAGACGCCTGTTCTGGCGTTAACCGAAATAGCAGCGATATTACTAAAATAGGACCAGAATCTACACGTATTAAATATACTCTTACCCCAATTCAGTCTAAACTTAATCGAAAAGCATGAAAAGAACGGTTTATTTGTTCCTCTTGGAAGAATTGCCGTATCATGCGAGCGAAATCGAATCGCGCATCGGAAAATTAGCCAAAGCTGTGCACCACAACTTTTGGGAGACAAGACTGGGACATAGATAAATCCAATCACATACACATTTAAAATACTAGAATGTTTCGCGCCATTACAGACTTGCGACGACGAAAAATAATAAAAAAAAAAATAAAAAAAAAAACAAAAACAAAACAAAACCGAGGCGAATTTTCAACTCCGTCGCTGACGCCGGAGTAATAACATACATATGACAACTGATTGCGTATAACAAGTAGCATGCAACCCGCAAAATATCACTGCCCGCCATATTTGCCCGAAAAGGGCCTGCGGAGGACGTAGATGCAAAGGTATTAAAAGCCCCAGGCAATATTCGTGACCTTGGTTTGTATTTGCCCTTGGCCTTTACATTTGGCTTTGAATTTACATGTATATTTGGCTTTGAATTTACATGTATATATTTACGAATTTTACTATAATTCCTATTTGTAAGCAAGAAAGATTCTAATATCGGGACGAATCGCAGTTTCTGTTATGAAAAATATATACTGTTTATAAGTTAAAAACCAGCTTAAAAGCAGGTTTTGCTTGCTTCGTATTTTTGTGGGTCAAGACTTTCTTTCACGTGCTCAATGCGTGTGACCGAGATGTTATACCATATGTATTGTCTATGTCTCTATGAATGGCTTCCTGGTCATTTTGAGCTCCTGCTCAATGAAGTGCCCTGTACTATACACTAACATACTGCTTGAATTAAGGCAAAATGGATCGTATCCGTCAGAAAAGTTTCTTTTAACCATATTGAAAAAACTAAAAATAAAACTATACTTGTCTTAAAAACAAACGAAACCATGCTGTTCAATCCGGTCAGGGGGATCATTTTCTTAACTTGAACCGGCCTTTGCGCGCGTATTGGTTCTGTCCTGCCCCCCAAAACCTGGGCTAGTTTTTTCGCCTGCATGTAAATGACAATGTTTTCTGTTTTAGAAGTCAGCAGTTTAGGCCTGTGCCCATGCAGTTTGGTCAATTGCGTAGATGAATAAATGTTTTTGTTAATGTTACCAGCGCGTGAACAGATGAAATTGAGTGCGTAATTGAAAAAACGTGAGTCATAACATAGTCATATCAGAGACTGAGACCCCAGAAGTCACAATACTTTGTGACCCAAATCAGCAAATAGATGCAGGTTATATACACTTTTCCTCCTCCTGGTTCAGGCTTCGCGTTTTCATATTTCTGTCAGTTGTCTATATGGTCATGGGATGTAAAATATTGGAAAATGCTTTGATATCATGCGTGGTTAAAAAAAATCCATTATATCAGCTATCTAAAATGACCTAACAATTAAGATTGCATAGATGATGATCAGTCTTGCTAATCTCTGTCTGACACATTATATATCGCCAAACAATATAGATGGGTCGGAACATTCATTACTTTTCAATATTAAAATCTAAACAGGCTGCTGCTGTAAGCGACTTTGGTTGACATAGTGCTTTTCCTTTTCAGAGCGGGAGACATAACAGCATCCGAAAGTTTACCTCTTATTGTCGACGCCGGATTAGGAGAAGAGCTAATATTTGCCATCTAATCCCTGATCGATGCTTGGATACAAATAAGAGAACCCTGCCACTGCCTTGTCGTAATGCTATATATATATACTGTCGATCTATACTGGCGAATAGGTATATAAAGTTCAGTACTCTATTGGTCCATTATAGCAAGCACGCTTTTTCATCAATATCTTATATCTACTTTCAAAACATCCGGTGTGTGTGAGCCGGTAGCGATGCGACCTGATTTTAAGCTCGTGCAGTAGCATGCTAAGGAACAAGCTACATGCACTGCTGGCGCAGTGCACGAAAAACCTATAATAGGTAATTATGTAATATAGTAAAATTTCGTTAACTTTTGAAATTTTGTTAAATTTTGTCCAGGGATAACGGGATCATGGACATTTCTCACTCAAGGTCAAGTGTTTAAAACTTCGTGATGAGATGCTTTACTCATCGCAAGCGGACCACATTTAAAAAACGAATGAGATACTGAAAAAATAGAAATAAATCGTATATATATATTCAATATGTAAATACTTTCGATTTACGATGCTGTAAATCTGAAATCAGAATTACAACTCGAGTTGTTTTTCGCACTCGCACTTTTTTACGCAAGTCATGACTGCAAGGTTCATCTTTCATCAACAGATTTACTGAACTGCATACATGGGTTCTACACTGGTCGTACTGGTTGTTAATACCAGATACTCTAGTATTCCAGGCCAAATTGCGAGCATATACTCAGTCTATAAATTCTAAAATTGGAAAGTATATATATATATAGTTGTCAGAAGAGACGCTTCATGCACGGTCATCCGTAGCTTCGTTATCGATGCATGTGTCATTCCTTTCGATCCCTTTAACATATATGTGTATATGTATATATAAGAGCATTCGAAATACTCTGCATGCATGCATTGTACTACGTGTTTTGGCGTCGGCTTTAATCTATTGAATTTATTACTTAAAATACGCTAACTATTTTATCAGTTATATAACTAAAAGAAGAATACCTTCCCCAAAAGCGATTTCTCTGCGGACCGCCGGGTTCATAATGCAGCACAGGTTCGGCTACACCGAAGTAAAACAGGCCAATTCCAACTCCTGCCGCAAACAACATTGTGAAATAGGTCCCGTCGCTAAACTCTGGTTCTTCGTCATCTTTGCCAAGTTTCTTGTCACAGGCGTCCGAGAAATACACGAGAAGCAAAAAGATGAGCCAGACGTTAGCGATCCCAATGTAAAACCACGTAAACTGTGCGGTCATCCATTTCTTAGCACGTATCATGTACTCCGACGTTCGTTCTGGGTCCGTGATGCACCAAGTTAAGAATCCCCAGATTAGCAAGCTAGAGACCAATGTAACGACCGGATTTAAGTTCAATCGAAGCGGACCAAGTCTTGCTTCGAACCTGCGGCATTTTTTGTTAGCTGAAGAAACGTCTTCAAGATTTTCCACGTTTTCCATAAGAGGTATATTATAATAAACGCCAGATGATATGCTCCAGAGTTAAAGCTTACGGCCTTACGCAACAACACACGAGTGACGGGTTGTCGCTTGTATATGTAATACATGCATCTACTTGTACCACGTGGCCATTTACCCAGATTTGTTTACACATCGGGATTTTCCTTGTGACCTTGTTTATTGTACTGATCAAATGAAATTGAAACTTGACCATTGTGCTATTTAATTTGCTACATTCGAGGCGCACTGTAATCGGCGCCATGCTGTTGCGGTAAAAAATAAGTAAAGATAAAAAATAAATTCATCCAAGATTACTGAGTCTTAACACGCTTTGCGAGTTGTTTCTTACCTGCACTCTGCAGTATTAAATATCAAATTACAATAACAATTACTACATACATATTATATATATACATATATATGCTATATATATACTAGGGAGATGCTAAGCATGATATGGCGAGCCTAAGCAAGAAGAATGAGACGGCGAGGTAAAACATGCGATTTCATTTCGTGTTCCTTGACCTTGTTGAGGCTTATTCGCACAGTTTTAAATTCAGGGAGGTAATTTGCGCGTTTGTTCTTTTTGGTTTGTTTAATAGAACTGTTTGCGCGCTGGTTATATATCGCAGAGTGCTAAATTCCGCGTATACCCGGCGCTGCGTGAGATTTAGAGAGCTTCACTGGCTGGTTTCCATATGATGCCGACCTGTCGCCGACTCATTGTCTGTAATCATCCAAGGAGAAAATGATTTCAGAAAGACAAAAGATTTCACCTATTAATAATCGGCTATTTCTAAAACCAGGAACGGGGAATCGGGGAACGGAACGGGGAACGGGGAACGGAACGGGGAACGCGAAAACCCGGAATACTAAAAGCCGGAATCTCTAAAACCCGGAATACTAAAAGCCGGAATCTCTAAAACCCGGAATACTAAAAGCCGGAATCTCTAAAACCAGGAATACTAAAAGCCGGAATCTCTAAAACCAGGAATACTAAAAGCCGGAATCTCTAAAACCGGGAATACTAAAAGCCGGAATCTCTAAAACCAGGAATACTAAAAGCCGGAATCTCTAAAACCCGGAATACTAAAAGCCGGAATCTCTAAAACCCGGAATACTAAAAGCCGGAATCTCTAAAACCAGGAATACTAAAAGCCGGAATCTCTAAAACCCGGAATACTAAAAGCCGGAATCTCTAAAACCGGGAATACTAAAAGCCGGAATCTCTAAAACCAGGAATACTAAAAGCCGGAATCTCTAAAACCGGGAATACTAAAAGCCGGAATCTCTAAAACCAGGAATACTAAAAGCCGGAATCTCTAAAACCAGGAATACTAAAAGCCGGAATCTCTAAAACCCGGAATACTAAAAGCCGGAATCTCTAAAACCAGGAATACTAAAAGCCGGAATCTCTAAAACCAGGAATCTCTAAAACCCGGAATACTAAAAGCCGGAATACTAAAACATATGGTTAAGTAAATTACCAATAACAATCATGAGTGCAACGCGGTGTAAATTGTAAAACTAGCTATAGTTATATTTGAGTACAATTACAAAAGTAAATATTGAAAATGCTGGCATCTTTGTAAATGCTGGCAACGCTATTCGTCTCGGTTTTTATTCAGCGATATTCACTTCGCCTTCGAATTCGGCGAATAATTGTTAAATGTTTACTGTTATATTTGTTATTTTATGTTATTAATATTGACCGCTGATAAGATTGCGGGCACTAGAAAAAACAAGCCTCGTGGTCTCTGCTTCGTGCTCATCGAATTCGAACGCGTATTTGGGTTATATGCAAATGTTTTTTAAGCATTTCCATATAAATGAGTGCTAAGTTACCTATTTTAAAAGTTGGAACCCCAGCCGCAGACATTGTTATACCTGGTGTAAAACAATTTATATGGACAGACGCGCAAGAGAAGTGCAAAATTGGTGAAGGAAGTTTTGGTGATGTATATTCAGCTAAATTTAAGGGCAGACTCGTTGTATTATTAAAGAAATTAAAATGCCAGAAAAAACAACGAGACAAACTATTATTTACCAAAGAGGTACGCATTCTCAGTGAATTGCAATGTAAGCACATTGTTAAAGTTGAGGGCTTTTGCTCGAGTCCCATAGCAGTAATGCTAGAGTACGCCTGTTTTGACTTTCAACCGTTGGGAATTAATGGTGATCGTGTCACTTGTTTGATGGAATACCTCGATTTTGTGTGCAGTGGAAACTTTGTGGAGCAATTGTCTTTTCTTCAGCCAAAGATTGCACAAGATATTATCACAGCGATTGCCTACCTTCACAAGCGAAACATCGCCCACAGAGACATTAAGGCTGCAAATATTCTGGTTTCCAACACTCACTATTCTCAATTGACAGATCCTGACGAAATGGAAAAGGCCTGGTCAAAAGAGAATATAATTTGCAAACTGGCTGACTTTGGGGAAAGCCGTTCAATTATGAATCAAACTGCTACACTTAATCACACCAGAACTAAAAATCTTGAAAGGGGAACACTTGTTTATAATGCACCAGAGGCATTGCTAATCTCTGACCAAACTATTTCTTTTTCCTTAGAAGAACTGAAACAGTCTGACATTTGGTCTCTTGGTATGGTGTTGTTTCTTTTAGTTAATCCTGATGTTGAATACCCATATTCCCAAGAGATAGAAGAATGTGGTTTCGACAATAATACTTTGCCGACGTCGGCGTCGAATGTGTCTCATAGGCTAGGCTTTAGATTTGACTATTCCGCTGACCGCTACCGCTACGGGATTTGTCCAGTGAGCTCCACATATATATCTGGAGTAAGCACTTTGGGTGCAAAAAGTGAAGCCAAAGATGGCGGAAATTGAAGCGCTATAGTGCGTCAGTTTCAGTCTCCTAACTCGCGGCTAAATATTTCTCATTTGTTTTTGACCGGGAGTGACGGTTCTCGAAACCCTCAGATTTTCGTGTTTTTCGTCATTTTGAGAGCACAAGAATAGAAAAAAATTTATTCATTTTACTGAGAATCTGTTTCTCTGCATCTACCCGATGTGGGTGCCGCATTTTCCGACTGTACGTGTGAGTAAATATGCATTTTTCGCCGTAAATTCAACTACGCATTTCAGATTTGTTTAATTTTGAGTTATCTTCATATATTTCCACCTTATGTTTTGAGTTTCTTGTTTCGTTTTTGGTTTCGAAACGCTTCAACACTAGTTGCTCTTTTTAAGTTTTCTTTTATACGTGCATTATGAGTCTTGTTTAAAAATTTCATAATCATATATTAGTATAATTCCAAACTCGTACGTTTTTCAGCATACTGATTTTCTTTCCTATTCATTTTTTTACATGAATGAAAACCTTATATACATGAATTAAACTGAGAAAATTTTTATTTATGTTTTTTTCGGAAGCATATTCTGTGAGTAAATGTTGTGATTTGCGAAAAGGCGAAAACATCAACAATCCGCCACTCCTTAGTTTTCCGTGTAAGATATCTCTCTTAATTCCTTGATAATTTAATTGAAATATGAAAGTATCCCAATACAAAACATTTGTATTACACCTTTCGTTAAAATTCCCCTCATTTTTACTCAAAAACGGGGAAAAATAAAGTTAAAAATACGAATTTAGTTGGCCGCGCACACATAGGAAAACTGAAACTGACGTACTATAGCGCCTCAATATCCGCCATCTTTGGATTCACTTTTTGGCCTCACGGAAGCAACGGAAGTCATATATATATGTGGAGCTCACTGGATTCGTCAAAAATCGCGAGTGCTGCCGTGCATTCGCGCATGTGAACGCAATTTTCGCCAAAGAAGCACTTTCACATTCACTTTCACATTTTTAGTTGGCTACATAGCTAACAAAATTTCTTTATTAGCTGATTTACTAACTTTCAAGCCTGTGTTGGTGTGTGACAAATCAAGAAACTTCTTTCGCAGTTGTGTAACTTCATGAATAATTTGTCAGCATTTGATTTCATCTTCTTGTAAAGACCTAACATCTCTTTCGTTTGCTCAAGCTTTACTGTTTGGGGCACATCGCCAAAAGCGCTAAAAAAGCTTTATAATTGTTTTAGATTACATCTATGATCTGTTTTGATCAAATTCAGTTGACTGAACACACGTTCAACTTCTGCATTCGAAAAAGGCAAGGATAGGCTTTTCACAATTCAGTTACCAAATTTGGGAAAGCAAGTTCATTCGATGTTTTCTTCTTAAGATTTTGATTTAGCGAACATGAAATGGTCTGTTATGAGTTATCTACCTCCTAGCAGCCGCTATGGAGTATTTCGGGCGATTGATTCCGAACACACCCTCGATTCCGAACACACCCTCGACTCCACGCGTGGGGACCACGCAACATACCAAAAATGCTGACCTGCGTGTTTTCACCCTGAACAGGGAGGATATTCTTTAGGACTGATTATTTTCTGTCTATTTTGATTGTCATTCGGCCGGTCTGAGGTTTTACTGACAACAATCCCTCGGCAAATATCATTCCTCCGGTCTTCGGGTGGACTTAGTTGTCGAATCAATCGCTCTGTCCCCGTGTTTCGAATTTGTATGATAAATGCACATCCCTACCAAAACATACCTCTGGTCTCCTTGTTCATAACATTTTGGCTTCGATTTGCGAATTTTCATGATTATGTCCAGAACACGTTTTACACACAGGGCAACTATCCGCTATTGGCTTAGCAAGTGCAGCCTGAGTCTTTATTGAGCTTTTACTAAATAGAGCATTTGCGATAAGGCAAGGTTGTCGTCACCCCACTGAATTCTAACACAACTGGTAATTAACAATTACTTAATGGTTCGGTGTTTGGATGGCCCAGTGAACTCCATATATATATATATTTGGAATGATAACTTTGGCCGATTAAGTGAAGCCACGACAAACGACAAACGACACGTCATTGCCTTCGTCATCATATCGGACATAGTCTTCTGCGCGGTTATTACTCATTTGATTTGTTGTTTGTGATCGCCGAGTGCATATTTCAGCGTATAAATGCTTGTTAAAAGTGTTATGCCGATAGCTGATTGTACAAAAGATATAAAATAGGGCTAGCATCTACTGGGAA